TGTAAAACTATCCATTCTTCTGGTTAGAATTGCATTAGTGAGTTTAACATTAGTTTAACTTAAGCATGTATGTGTTATGTTTTCATACATACTTCCGTAAAAAATATGTAGCTATTTAAAATATTGCTTATTTGACCCAACAATAAAATTGAAAATTCAGTCAGATTGTTTTTGTTACATATGATGCTTATAAGGGTCATGAAATTAAAAACAGCCAGCAACATAAATCTACATGTTTGCATAACGATGCAAATGATTTAAACCGATTCTGATATATATTTTGTGTAAATATGTAATATTAATGCATGATAACCGTTAATCAACAGGAAGTTGACATTGTGGCGGCACCCATTACCCGACAAGCGCAAAGAAGCCCTGCTATGGATTTCAGCTATTCCTATTTTTATGAATATACAACTGTTCTAATTAAGAAACCCGACGTTAACGCAGGAAAATGGAAAACATTGATAGATCCATTACGTTGGGAAGTGTTGGGGACAGTAGGTTGGTCCGATTTATCTATTCTCACTCTAATATTAATAGATATACTTGAGTGGCAACGTAAACTGAAAATGTTATCCATTAATTGATCTATCGGCTCAAAGATTTAGTGTTGTGTTCAGTTTATGTAATTTGTGAAAACATCCTTTTATTACTGGATCATACACTTTTTTTTGTTTTGTTTTTTCAGGGTTATTATTGATTACTGTCACATTTCTAGTGTATATACTAGAGAAAAATAACCCATTTTATAGCAATCCCCAAAACGCGCAAATGAGAATAGCTCAAGGCGGTCTTCACGAAATACATAGTTCATTCTGGTATGTGTTCGGAGCATTACTTTGTCAAGGTAATGTATATTTCTTTTTTTTTAAAGTTAGGTATGCATGCACATCTTTGTTAATGCACGATCTAAGGTTTTATTTACCGAGGTTCTTTATGTCGCCTCTACATATGTCGCCTCTACAAAGTAGTAGCGACGTATAGGCATCACGTCTCCGTAGTCGGTCCCGCCGTCGGTCCGCCCATCTGTCCGTCGGTCACAAAATTTGTCAGGACCATTTCTCAAAAACTACCTGTGCAATATCATCCAAACTTTACAGGAATGACTAAGTTAATGTACCAGGTCTAGTTGTACAGATTGTCGACATTTTTCGGTTCAATGATTGTTCTCAGATTTAAAGCCCTTTTTATTTTTAAAGTTTCGGACTTCTCCTCTTATACTTCTAATGCAATTTCAGTGAATCTTTACAGAATTGATATATAGCTCAAGTGCTTGCACATTTTATATGGGTGATATGGTCCAGACAGTTTACACATCTACAGTCAAATCTATAATGAGCCAACGTAAATTGATGGCATACCATTTTAATACTTTTTAGAACATTTCATAGTAAGTTGGAAATATAACATTTTTTTTGTCGTAGGCGATATTTTACACATTTTAACCCTTTTCCATACAATCTTTATATAAATAGTATTTTGTAACTTGCTTGTCGTGGTTGATGCTTAGATATGTAGCAGACGAATTAAGACTAATTTTTTTACAGGTGGTGTTCATCTCCCATTGTCAACATCTGGTAGAACATTGATAAGTTGTTGGTGGTTAACTTGTATTATCATTGTGGGAACATACTGCGGCAACCTTATTGCATTCCTTACGATAACAAAAGAACAGCCTCCTTTTAACACAATAGCGGAGATGCTTGAACTCAAAGGCACTTACAAATGGGGAACCGTTGGCGGCACTAACTGGGAAATGGTATTTCCGGTAAGTTGAATAATTTAGTTAACAAAGAAATATTATATCGTTTTCACTTTTGTTAACATAGTTAATTTAAGTATCAATAAGATGTGTTTATTAAATTGACTCTTTGTATAATCACGGAACTTGATATAGTTACGTCATCATTAAAAGATGAAACATCTGATTTTTAGAAAAAAAATCTGTTTACTAAGAATTTCCAAATGCCTTAAATAATTCACACAAATCTAATAAACTAAGCAAAGGAGTCTGCTTTTTTCAGTGTTGCTCTGTCGAATTGATTCAGAAAAAGGTCCATTCATTCTTGTGCTGAACTATTTCGAAAAGTAGCAATAAAATTATTAAATAAATCCCTTACCCTTCCTAGATCCTTAGATGCGCTTTCAACTTTAGAACAATTTTCAAAAGGATAACCCCAGTAATTTTACCAAAAACTGATAATTTCTTAAAATGATCATAAGTAATGAAGCAACAAATCAACAACAAACAAACTATTCTACATTTTCATATCTTTACCTGTCTGCCTCTAAAAGATAGATTAAAGAACACATATTATTTTTTTAGTTTTCGTCGCCCATGCAAAATTTTATATTTTGAATGCTTTATTTCCCTTTTTTATTAAAAAGAAAAAAAGCGATATTTCATGTCAAGGAAACATAGCAAAATATATATTGAATAGATTTGTTTAAGAATTTGAATAATGGTTTTGCATATTGATAAATAATACAATAATAAAATTAAATAACAAAAAATAAATTTAAGAAATTCAATTTGCAGACCTCGAGCAATCCTACATTCAAAGAAGTTGGCGAAGCATTTCTTGAATTCAACAAAGCAGACCCTACTATTCTACATCAAGTTCCAGAGTTCCATATAAACCGTGTACTTAACGACAATAACTATGCCTGGATAGGTTTGTTTTGATAATATTGTAAATTCATTTTAAACGAGTTTGATTAAGTTTTCGTCTTGCAAGCATATCATTGTGTATTTGATTTAAATTAATAAAGCAAGCAAACGTTGAAGATCATCGATTCAGCCTTAGTTATAATACATGTCAATATAAAAGGCTTTACAAGAATCACAAAATAGGATGTATGAAAACTTGTTGTTTTCAGCGCTGTTCTATCAATCAAAATACACAAATAAAAGAAAATAGTTAATCTGCATTTTATTTATATTTTCCCTGTTATTTGATCTATATTTTGTTCCGTTATAATTAAAAACACTAAAGAATCCCTTCCTGAAATCCAAATATTACAACCAGAGTGTTAACTGTCTTCCTCATAGATATTACGTCTTGCCAATTACAGGGGTTTAATCATGCAACCATGCAGCAATTTGTAGATTATAACTTAAGGTAGACCATGGGTAATGGGCACTACAAGGAACTGTAAAATTGACAACAAATGACAGTTATGGGCCCTAAAGGTCAAATGTATGCAAAATTTAAATAAAATTTACCGTGTGGTTTATGAGTTATGGATATATTTCTGGACAAAAACTTTGCTATTGGAATGGCTTTTTTTTCAGAAATGAGGAAACTTTTAATAATCTGTAATATTATCCTTATTCCTTTTGATCATTGTTAAGAAACAAATAATAACATTCAGGTAACAGATAACACGAAAAAAATGCTTTTAATATGTATAAAAATGTTACCCTACCCCACCCACTTTAAACACTAATTTGACCATTTTCCTACATAAAAAGCCTCATTCAAAATATCCCTTAAATGTACCACAATGAGGGGCTGTTTTCAATGTTTGCCTAACTTTTCTTAAAGGTATAATGGTTGATGATGCAAAATATAAAATACTTTTACCTTGTAGTTTTTTTTTTATATAACTTTGAAAATATCTGGTATCATATTTGCTATCAAATTGACATTATTTAGCAAATAAATACCTACAATAATTATATAATTAAAATCAAAAACATTTTTTCTTCCATAAGGGATCTGAATGATACATAAATACAGTAAAAAGGAAAAAAAAGAAAGAAAAAAAGTTGCCCCTTCTGGGGTTTGAACCCATGCCCATTAATTTCAATGTAATTGACAAGTGATTCTAGCCTATTTGAATACTCTTCAAAGTAGATGTAATGCATTACCCATGGTCTACCTTAAAAATTAAGCATTGCCATTCGATAAATTGAAATTTTATTATATAAGTTGACGATTTTTATCATTGTAGGTGACAAAACCTACATGGAAATTTACATGGCTAGAGAATGCAGCCTTCTTTCAATAAAGGAAGAGTTTATGCCGATGATCTATGTTTTTGGCTTTACGAAGAATTCGCCACATACCGCCATTTTCTCAGAGCAGTAAGATATTTCATCGAATAGTTTGCATTTTGCTAAAATGTGTTTACGACTTTTCCTGTCGCCCCTATTATTTGAGCTGTATATGGTTTACATCGAGAAATGTTACCATTTTATTATACATTGTTCTATATTTTATACATACCAGATTTACATTAATTAGTTATTTACACATAGCATTCTTATGCATACTATTCTAAAATTGACATTTAATTTATTGATTTCGAAGAAATTACATAGTTACATGTATTTGCATTGGTCGATGGAATTTTATGCAACACAGAAATTATGCTTGGTTGAATTAAACGTGAATCAATTTTTTTTAAGTTACATCATCAACATTTGGAATGTTTGGAAATCTAATAATATAGTAATCTCTCATTGACAAACTGAAACGAATTATGCATATTAACAGAAATTTTATTATATCATGTTATAAGCTTTTTGAATGAATTTTCCTTTAGAATGCTGAAAATACACGAAGGTGGATTGTTCCAAATTTGGAAAAGGAAATGGTGGCCCAAATCAAATTTTTGCGAGGGAAATCAAATTCCAGAAGCAAAGCCGATTTCTTTAATGGATGTGCAAAGTGCCTTTTATGTATGCGTAATCGGAATTTTCGTAGGTTTTGTCGCCTTTACTATCGAACTTGTTGTGCATAAATATAGACCACATACTACATCAACCAATGCAGCATCAAATGAAGATTTACCCAACTCGAGTGATGATGGCAAAACTAATCACAAATAAGAGGAAGCTGTAGGTGATAAATGATTCGTCGATCTGGTTTTATTTTCAGTATTAGAAATCTTGCTCAATCAATACAAAAACCCAATTTCGGAAAAAGTTTATGTGTAACTTAAATGCTCATTCTTAAATGCTATAATCTATTGTTGTAAAGTATGATTATGGGGTTATTTTTGTTAAAGGTCAAATTGAGCAAAAAAATAAATTTGAATAATTATCTAGAGCTGTTAGTCTTTTGCTTTGAAGTTTATTCCTTCATTACTTCAATTATGTTCTTCTTTGTGAGTTTGTTTTGTTTGTTTCTTGTTTTGATTTTAAGAATGCGAGTACTTTTTGTGCAAACGCCGTTAGTGTTTCGAACCGAACATTCCATGATTTAGTTCTTTACAGATAGCCGTTTATCTGATTATAGATAATGTGTAAGCTCAGGAAGCTTAGAAAAGTGCATGCTTACAATAAACTACATTAAATATTAAATGGCCATCCGATATCAATGGTTTCAGACTTATTCGTAGACGATCAAGCCATGACGGAAATATAATATGAATGCCTATTCAAGTGAGAATGAGCAAATATTATTTCAATGATATAAATTAAACAGTGACAGAGTGTCTATTGTGAACACGTCATGTATGACTTATACTTACATTATCAAATTCGGAACATTAGTTTTGCATTTAAAAATACAGCTTATTAAATACAAATTTGCCAACAATATTTATTATTCATCGTTGAGCTAACAAAACAAAAATGAAAACAACGAAGGGAATGGTTTTTTTATTCACTGCCATAGGCGTTGATTACACTATTATATATAAATTATTAAGCATATATCCTTCAATTTTACATTACAATTGCGATAATTACATAGTCACCTTTTTCTGTATTTGTTTCGTATCGGAGACTTTCAATGTTTTTATAACACAACTTCTGTAATGTTCAATATACATACGATATGCATATATTTTCAATATACTCTTGACGTATTAATGTATCTATTCATAGAACATATTACTTCCCTTGCGCAAAAAAGAAATAAAGGCATGTTGATGAATGTACTTTTTACAAATGGTATTAATTAATCTTAAGTTTGGGTGGAAATTTCAATAAAATAATGTAACTTTAAAAAAGAAAAACATTAATCATTGAACATTCTTTCTTGTCAATTACATGTACATAAATAAGCTTCAATTGGACTGACCTGGTCTTGTTGAATTTTTTCTAAAACTTCTAATTTAATCCATGCCTCAAACAAGTTTGATTACATCAACACGAAACATGGAGTATGTAATTGTCATGATAAGATGTAGTCATAAAAACAGTATTTTAGAATTTATGCTCATTTTCAACTTTATATATACTTTTTTGTCAAAATTGTCAGACAATAAGGGAGTTTTTGACACAAGGACTAATTTTAAACTACGGTCATTATTTTTAAAGCAATATGTAAAGGACTAAGACAACGTTTTAAGCATGATCTATTTTTAGCATGCTTTCACTTTATTTAAACTTGGTACACTGCAGACAGTTTCACTATCCATTATATTTTATACATGAACAAGAAAACATTGTATTTACAATTGAAGAAAATGTAAATAAAAAGTTAAATTTTGTCCTGACTTGTATATTTATTGACAACTCGCAAAATAAATATTGTCATTTCGTAGTTATTAATGCATATTATCCAAACTCATGTAAATCTCGAGCCAAATAACTGTACACTGATACATTATATACTAATGTTCTTGCGTATCTTTACTTTGTTTGTCTTTTATCCGGAGGTCACAGTTCGTCATGTAGGATCATTTTATTTCGAACGTGTTTTTTTTTGCACCGTATATATTATCAAATATGTTATACTTCCGATCATTGAGGATCGTTCAGGACGACCTTATTGTTATGTTTACATGTTATTATGATGTGTTTTTAGTTTCCTTCTAGATAACCCTTTTCAACTCGGATTGTTCCAATATTCCTACCTAAATACTTACCCGAAGGATATGTTGCCTGCTTTTATTTTTATTGATTTATTTTTCTGACGTTTTGTATGTGATACGCAAACGTTATATCCTCAGATCCCCTATCAAAGTTCCTTTTTATTTATTTTTGCTCAGTGTTTTCTGTTATCTCGTTTATGGCACATGCATATTTTTATTGGGAATCATACGACAATTCTCATGGAATGAAACTAACGTATCACATTGAAAGTACCATAATAACTGCCGTATGAACACAGCCACATTTGCGAGTGTTTCTAATTTTGAAAATATATTATTACCGTTACAACATTTTGTATTTTGCTTCAGCCGGTGATAGGGGCCTGGAATTTACATGGCACTTTCCAGTACCGTCTATGATCAGTCGTTTTCGGCGGTCGTTAGGGTTTCCGTTTTTTTCTCTATTTTACATTAATGATATCAAAACCAGGGCTTTAAAATTGTTCACAATTCAGACTGGGATGTTGATATTTTATTGAAGAATCTTGAATGTGTTACAAAGGCGTTGTCAAATAGTAACGCTTACAGTTTTTTACCAAAGAAAAAACAATAAACGCCGTTTTTATGTCTTTTTTTGTCGCATTGTGTTATATTTTGAGAACGGAAGTGCGAAATGTGGGTGTTCAAAACAGATTAAAACAAAACAAACGTGAGCAATACAAAATCCTAACAGTTCATGAAAGCTCTCAAAAACCATTCTAACCATGTAAGGTAATGTTAAATATCCATTAATGACAGTTCTTTTTACAAATTACCAAATAAAATACTTAAAGCACACTTAAAATGTTTCGTTTCATAACGTTATTAAAAATTCGCTTTCTTCCAATGTGTAACACAATAGTGTGATCAATCTTTCAAATGTTATTCTTTTTGAATAAATAAAGACATTGATGCTTTAAAGTTGACAAAGTCACTGTTTTATAGAAATGTTTTGCTTCTGATAGGTGGCAATACGTTTGCTTTACTAAAAACTCTCCTGCTTTCCACTTCAACATCTGGGAGACGCAGTTGAGTATCATTTATTGTGTTTTCGACAATTTCAGACCTTTCCGAACATCTTTTGTCAGTCGTGGGCCTACTCGTTCGTACTACAGAGCTCGTGGTTTCAAAAACTGTATTTTCCTGTGTCGAATTCGCAGTGCGTACTGATGACCTTGTTGGGATGTATGAAATATCAATTTTTTCCCGACGAGATCTGTTATTTCTTCCATTATCCAATAGACGTGTAGTCTGCATCTTTGCTGTCTTTGGGCGATTATCAAATCGCATTCTGGAGCTGGTATGTATTCCACTTTTAAAACTCATGTGAATATCTTGGACATATTTAGATGATTTGTCAAGTTGCTGTTGTATGCCAATATGTGCCATATTGTCGGAATAACCTGTTCCAGCTTGTTGATGATATGATGTCCTTGGTCGTGTGTCAGATGGTTTTCTTAAGCTAACGTTATTATCATGACTTTCAACACTTGATTTTTTCTTTCGTAAACGATTCTTTTTTTGCTCAACAGCTGCTTGATGTCTGGAATAACTTTTCTCTAGGTCATCCATAACTGCATCAATATCCTTTTGTTGTTCCTGTCGCCTCTTTTTTAACTCCATTTTCGTAACACTGATTTTGACGATGAACTCCCATGTTAAGAATAATTGTATTTTCACAAACAATTATTTAATTCACACTTTTTTCAACGATAAAATTGTGTTGTTCTTTGAATTATTTAATCTAATATATTTTTGTTTGGGTTTTACGTCATATCGATGCAGTATATTGCGACGTTCAATCTTTACTAATGGAGGAATATCTCAGGTGCTCGTTTGTGCATTATTTCAGGCACGAACGAGCACATAAGTAGAACCATCGACGTTCCGAAAGCTAGCTGAATAACTTCCTCAAATGAAAGAATCGAAAGTCTTTGTCGGCATTCGAACCCCATTGGTAAGGGGCAAATCATTTGAGGTCAACAACCTTAACACCTCTGCCACGGACGCCCTAATTTATTTAATATATACTATATAAATTTGTATTGCTACACTTGTTAAGTTCTTATCGTAATAAAATGAAAACGAATTCCAAAAATGATTAAAATAATAACATTTTATGAGTTTTTTTAGATACTGACAATATACCAAATAATTTGAATTTTATCTATTATGTTTCAATTAGAAAAAAATAATAAAACAAACGTACATACGTGCTTAATTTAGCACATGTCATAAAATGAACAATACATTTTTGAATGGTAAGCAAAAAATCGTTCGCCTTTTTTCATTTCGATCAATGATACATTTGTTCACGTTAGTATTGAATTTAAGAAGATGACGGGTAAAATCAGATTTTCCTATCTCTAAATGATTTGTGTTTATATTTCAAATGATTTGTGTTTATATTTCATCAATCCAAACCGTCGTTTCAATATATGTTCATACATAAAAGGTTTTCCCGTTTTGTCATTATATCCTCAAATGTGTACAATTATAAATGCATTCAGTTGGAGAATTAAAATGTCATTTGATACTTTAGCTTAAAAGATAATAGTTTTTCTGCTGCTCTGTATTTGTTTATATGATTTATTTACATATGCAGTCAGACTGATCAAAAGCAGGCACGGATGCAACAGTATAAACACCGTGACTATATATGACTTTTATATTATATTAATTTTACAATAATTTTTCATGTTCATTAATTTTGACTGAACAAATGCTTACAGTTATCGTATTTTAAACGTCCAATTTAAATATAAAATTATTCCATTTAAAGGCAATTACAATTTAGATCAGGTAAATTTATCTTCAAACTGAAAGAATGATTAGTTATGTATCAGTATCATTTCAAATTCATCAATTCACGATATCAAATCCATGAATTCACGATTTCGCCGTTTGAACTCCGCGATTTAAGGTTCGTGATTTCAATATTGCAGCTGATAAATACTAGTTCATACAGTAAATTCGGGAATTTCAAAAGTTGAAATCGTGAATTTGTTAATTCTTTATGTTGGAATCGTAAATTTATGAAGTTAAAAATTGTTAATTTATTCAGATGAACTCGAGTATTCAAAAAGTTCAAATGTCATCGCCGGTCGTTCGTTAAATTAAATGGAGGTGAACGTTTTTATTTTCAGACCAATTTATTTCAAGGTCAATATTGTTGCTGCACATGCTGACATGCTTATTAGTACACATGTTTGTGCATGTTCTTATAATGAACTAAAGGAGGACGCCACAAAATGTATTGTCTATATCAAAGCATAAAATAATTGTGTTAAACACGCGCTTTAATTATTATGTTATTTATCAACGAAATATGAATAAATTTGTTATATGGTTATTTCCCTTGTCTTTATGAATGGACATATGCGTCAAACATTTAAATATTGTTTATATAATCAATTCAGAATTAAAACTTTTTCTATTTTCTTTCAAAAGTGTTTAACCTAAAATGAGGGTAATTATGCCGTATTGATTGAAATAAAAGGATCATTGATAAAATGTATATCTATATTGTCATGTTACAATGTGTTTAGTCAATAAAAAACAATTCAACCACGTCAGACTAGATATTGTAACAAAGCATGAATGTGTCGATATAATGCTTTCATATTTTGATTTTGTCTTTTATCGTATTTATGTTTTTTATTTATATTCTTTTTATTTACCTCATACGATAAGGGCTTTCGTATTTAGAGGTAAAATTTTTAAAGATAGTTTTGCATTACTCGGCAAGAGGAATAAAAATGGGCATGTTCCCTTTATTGTTTATCTGCATGAATTGTCTTGTTTTATTTGCAATTATTATGTTATTACCAAATAAGAAAATAGAATCAGAATGATATTTATGATCAGAAATACTAAAAGTAAATGAATATGATTCTGCAAACTGTACATTAAATGTCAGATAGATTCGAGCTATGTTTCCTTGATAAACAAGTTAAAAACATTGTGCAAACAATAGTGAGTCACTACAGTATTGATAATAAATTTCAATATACTTTCATTGTTAACTTATAAAATGGGAACGAGTCTGCGTATCTTAGGCAAAGCATATAACGTCGCCAGAGCACGTTAGGTAGCATTGTCCATTATCTGCTGAGAAATACAAAGTGAAAAGTGAGAAAAAATCTCCATAGTCTCGTAAAACTCTATCAAGTCACCGACTTCTAAATCTTTTATTGTAATCGCTTATTGAGACGAAACGTATCTCTTGACTAACCGTCATTTTTAAACAATCAAAATATATGCCATATACTTTAAAGTAATTCTATACTTTACAATTCTATAGAAAAAGTTTGTAAAGTATTGAACTTATTAAAGTTAAAACTTTCAAGGAGAAATATAATTTTTGTTTGACAAGGACATATATAGCAGCGCCTCGATCGAATAAATTATTTCGTTATAATTCATTTCAAGCTACAAAGTATTTAGAGTAGGAGCACATTTCGCGGTAAGTGTTATTTTTTTAATTATATGATTTTTTGTTATTATATCAAATTAAGTTTTTACAAGTAGTGTGATCTGATAGAACACTATTAAACAAAACCTCTTACAAATAAGTTATAAGGATTGTGCAACAACGACATACAACTGTTAAGGATAACAAGGCTCGGTCATAAGGATTTTACCGAAACGATTAAGATCGGTTTAGGATACATATTCTCGGTAAAATGGAAAGCGCAACAATGACATAAATGGTTTAAGATAAAAAAAAAAGATTACGACAGCTAGGTTTTAATGATTGTACAGATAAGACATACAACGTTTAAGGCTGAAAATGCTCGGTTATAATATTTTGCAGATACGACAACAGTTTAGGATAAAAACGGCTCAGTTATAAAGATTGTACAGCAACGACATATAACATAAAACACATTATAAGGCCAGATGCATTGCTAATTTTACCTTTAGCACATCCAGTAAACTTTCTATTTATTAACGCTTTGTTTGTCTGAAATTATAACACATTTAATTGGATATTGTGAGAACGTCTACGAAAACATCTATTTTGGTCTATAAAGAATTCTTGTGAACCTTTGGACAAACAGATATCGCGTTTTCACCATCGTACCATTCTCGAGCGGGTAAGACGAAATAAAAGAATAACGATTGTCGAAACGAAACACCGTAGCTATTTGATAAACATGTGTATATTTTTCACATCAATGTGAAATATTTTACAGATGCATGTCACCAGTTTTATATAGCCCATTATGTTATAATTTTTTGTATGTAAATTAATTATTTTATATTGGATGCATTTTTTCTCTCTCTACTAAATACTCTTAAACAAACTATTAACACATGTATCGAAACAATATCAGATTGTTGGGTTATTTCTAACCCTCCTGTTTCATATTTTAAAACGTATTGGCCGTCTACAATTATTTAAAAACTTAAGGCTTTTTTAATCCGCGTAAATGACAGTAATATTGGCCCATTCAAAAGTAAGAGGAAAATTCTTTAATGTGTATTCATCAACTCCGAACAACGATTTCTAACATTATCCTTAGAAAATCAACCCGCGGAATATTATCAGCAGAACGGACATGAACAATGCGTTCCGTCTGAGGTTTAAAAGATATGAATATTATTCCCCTTTGTCAGCCAACACTCTGTTAATTACTCTCTGCATGCAAACTTGCCTTTAGGCCCACCCTGCAAAATATTTACGGTATTTTTATTTTCACAATCCTATAGTCGTCTCGGGCCCTACAGTACGGGATTGTACAATAGCCCTGTTCTGTTGTGTACTTGAAACCTGAGAAGTATCACTTCAAAAGGGAAACATGGATTTTTTCAATAAAATTACTAAGTAATTAGGTAAATCGCTATTTGTTTATGACTGAAAATGCTTAAATAATTACAGCAATATTAACGTAAGAACCTCCTGCACGATGATGGAATAACTTGTTATTGTTATTTAACTTGATAAGGTTCTTCTATTTGAAATATTTTCAGAACGTGCATCTTGTTTACATAACAAACAATATCAATATTTCGACCACGAATTATTAAATATTTTTTGCACACTTTAACACCATTTTTCATTGTGTTCTAAAACTTTACTGGGACATACCATGCACAGTTTTGGCGTCCATCGGCATTCTGGTAAACCACGGGAATATTATTATACGCTGCCTTCTGTACAATACTGAGAGTTGTGTACTGTCAAAACCACCTTGCCTCACTGATAAAAATCGTTCCGGCTCTATATTCGTATTGTTTTAATATATGAAAATTATAAATCAAACAAGGCAATTCATGAAGATAAATAATAAAGGAGATACGTATAGTCTTTGTATTCTTCCTAAATTGTAGAAATATTTGCCTAAATATTGAACAGATATTGACTTATTGAAGTGTTTCTCAGTCGTATTTTGGTCATTTAAAATTGGTAATAAAGTGTAAAGCTGATGTATGTGAATGTTTTATGTACTTGTGTTTGTATTGGCGACTGGCAAAATATTTCGTGTCATTCCATAGTAAAGCTTGCTTCTTATTCAAAATCATTAAAGACCCGGCTGCTTCATAGCCGAATGAATTAATGCGATACGCTTTATTGGACAAAGTAATGTTATTAATTATCTACACAATCCTTAAATAACACATCTAATCAACAAATTGAATACTTTATCGATATAACTTAGTCATCAGATCGTACTAGCTATTTACACAACAATGTATTTATTGAACATTCTAAACTTCGCATTATTTGAACCTGGTAGTTAATTGTTATTTTATGAATAATATGTTTTAAATCACGTCATTATGTCTTTGCAAAATAATTATTGAATTTACAAATTTAAAAGATTATGTTTATGAATAAATGTATAACTTTACAACATTTTCTGCCGATGATTGACTAGTATATTTTGACTTTAAAGTGAATAACATTAGTTCCGTTTTAAAAAAGGTGAGGTAACCGATTAAAAGATGGCATATTTATCCCAAAGAGAGGTCACAATAAATGATTTAGAAGAGGGTGATTTGATTGAGTTTTATCGTGCAATGGGGACTTTTTCACACTGGGCTGTTTATGTTGGTAAATATCTTTTTGATAACGAAATACGTAGAATGTATATTTTTGAGTTGCTTTTTTGTGCGTGCGTGCATGCTCGTGTGCATGTTTTTTATGTTCTGATATTTTAAGTATATCAAACTGCAATTATCTTATGTTCTAAACGCTTAGATTTTTTTGTTATTATATTAAAATCGATTAATATACAATATTTAAGTAACAATTATGATATTATCTGAACAATTTTAGCAAACAAAAAATAAGAACACCGACTTGTTTAATCAGTAGATTAAACCCGACTCTCCCCTTAAACATTTTATAGCTCATTTTGTCTGAAAATGGCTGCCATATAGTTACATATTGATAAACATATAACAAGTAACTGACGGTACAGACTAGAATCAGCTTGAGGAACAGCATTGTATTAATTTAAAATTGAATAAAAACTTCACTATTCATCACATCAACTATAAATATTGTGCAATCGCATTAAATTAAGATCACAAACAACTGTGGTTTGATATTGAATACACAGCAGATAGCTTGAATTCACTTTCAATGTCAAATTAAATAAATTTACAATAGTCATTTATACATTATTTACACATTTATATACAGGCCCTATAGTAAGAAATAAATTGTTAAGCGAGCAAAAAGGAAACTAGGCATGGTTGGATACGATTTAATGAAATACAACTGCGAACACTTTGCTACGGAGTGTAGATATGGACAGGCTAGAAGCAAACAGGTTAAGCCTTATTTGTTAAAGATCCTTTAAATACCAGCACAATCGTAGTATCTTAAGGCCCTGTATCACTAGAATGCGATTTCACTGCGTTCGCACGGCGTTGTTAAATTTAACAAAGCGCCGCGAGGTCGCAATAAAAATGTTATATTGTTGATGTCATGAAGACTGCACGGCGTCTTCACGGCGTGCTCACGGCGATCATGGCGATGCTACGGAGCTTTGATGGCGTTTTAGTTTGCGATTGTCTACGTTCGGACTGCGCTTCTATGACGTTCTTTGCGCTTTCACTGCGCATTTACGGCGCTCATACGACGCTCTCGCGGCGGTCACACTGCGTTGAAATCGTAAAGCTCCGTGAAAGCGCCGAACACACGCAGTTTAAGCGCGGTAAAGACGTCGCACAGTCTCCGTACAAGCGCCGTGGATAACCACGGCGTTCATTCGGCGTTCCTTTTGCGCTTTCGCAGCGCTCCTGTTGCGTTGTAGGAGATGCTACTGAGTTGCTACGGCGTCCTTACTGCGATGCTACTGCGCTCATTTAAGAACGCCGAGCGACGGCGTTTGTTTTGAGCTTGTTCAAAATGCGCGTCGTTGGTCGGCGTTCTATGCGATGCCACTACGATGCTACAGCGATCTTACTGCGCTCACCTCGGCGTTCTGAATTTTCTTTGGACGCCGTGAGAACGCCGTCCTAGTGTGACAGGGGTTTTACTTAATGTTAAAATATTTCACAATGTATGAGCTGCAAGTGATTTTTTTATAGATTGAGTAATTTTAATTTTAAGTAAGAATACGAAAGAAATATATTGTCTGTGTATATAAGGCCACAAATGGTCATACAATTATGTAAGTATAACGTTTTAATTTCTTTGGTAATGATTGTTATCTTAATGTGTTAGTAAAGAAACAGCAATGACGTAATTGTAACATATTTCTTTGTCAAAGTTGTTACATAAACCACCTTTTCCATATTCTTTTATAATACCATACAGGTTGAGGCTATTGAACAAAGAGCGTATGACTGGGTCCTGCCGCCTTTAATGCGAGCTTGGGAACTAGCAGACGTGACTAGATTTCTAACACCCGTCAACCAGCTTATTGAAATGGTTTGGTACTCCCCACCTGGTGACCTGGTGAAATGGTGAAATAATGCAGTTGCATATAATAATCAGAACAAAACAGTCCTGTTTCATATTATGTTAATAATTAAAGTATAATAAAACAGTCTCAATACTGTATTGTAACACTACTATTTTCTCAATGTTGTATATATATATAAATTATATATACAATCGTATTAATATCGAACAGGAAATAAAAGTGCGTTATGAATATTTTCATCAACGTCCATATATATGTCTTGATAAACAAAATGTTTAACTCGTCTTACTTCTTATCTGAGAAATAAATAATAATGAAACACAAAACTAAGCAATTCATAAAAAAAAAAAAAAAAAAAAAAAAAAAAAAAAAACAACATTGCCATTGTATTGTACTTGTATTATTAGATATCTAGTCGGGAAATATATGAACAATATTTAATAGTTCACCTGGTAATTATAAAGTTTAAGAAAGCTTTATAATATCAAATAAATAAAAAATAGAATAATGAGAAGGCCAAATCACACTTAGACGTAGCGCAGACACAAGAAGACATAATCAATTAAAAAAACAACAACAAAGTGTATGGTAATAAAACACCATCATGCTAGTAAAGGTGTTACAATTCACCGTAACGCTGCATAAAAACTGTAGTAACATAAACGAAGGCATATAGGTGTAATGCATTACTTCGCGTCATCACGCCTTTCCAATATGTTATTGTATTTCATTTTGGATTGTTTAATGACTATTATTTCATAAGGTTTTCGTATTATGAAATAACTCAAACGTAATGTCATCAATTCTGTAATCAATTTCAACAAGCATTTGTATACTTGTACAAACCACGATGAACATATTCTCAGGAGTTTATATAAATCAGATTGAAATGTTTCTGTTCAGTTTGGCTTATGTGCCGTAATGGCAATCCAAAATGTAAAAAGTCTTTACCAATCGTACCTTAGTTTACCTTTTACATATTTGTGGCAATTAATTTATCTTGTCTGACGTAAAGAATGTGTGCCTTTTTTACTTTAAATATAAACACAAAGTTTACCAAAGTTCTCTGTGTCAAAATGAATAGTTACATGAACGTTATAAATTTACTGTTGGCCTGTCTAAAAAAGCACCGTTTTGAAATACGACACTTAAATTAAATTAATTCTTTACTATATTTTCAACTATCTTTACATCTGATGTTCTATTTTATTTAGCAATTTATATTTTAACGTTTGCAAAGTCAGATTCATGACGGTTATGTGATTCAGCTTTTTCAAATTTCAAGCAACCATATGGTTACAATAATGTACACGCACGATTACCTAACTCAGATATTTCATTTATAACACAACCGAGGATATGTGAAAATATATTAGATGTATTAGTTTTGAATATGTACGAAAGCGTTTAGGTGCCAAATCAAAATGTTATATAAAAATAAAGAAATTAATCAGGAGTTTTATTATAACTCCTACGTAGGAGATAAAAAGCCTTATTAGGAGTTTAAAACTCCTATGTGACTCCTATGTAGGACAAGGAGTGTAACACGTATTTAACTCGGTTACGAGCAAGGCAATGATGACACTCCGTATTGACTTTTCTGAATTTTAATTTTTATTTGCATAAACTTTTGCACATTTATCATTGTAATTGTTAAATTACCAGACTACGCTATGAATGCGTGTAGTGTGATAGTTTCTGTTCAGAATCAGAATCGATTGTGATAGTAAACAATATTAGCAAAAGTAGCTGAGAAAAGGTTCTGAAACAAACAATGTCATTGTTCTATTTAAAACAGATTTTTGATGAAAACTAGTCAAACTAGTTTTTATTTTAAAATAAGTTACACCACATATTAAATTCGACAGGCATCCGTTAGTAGTATTACAAGAAAAGCATTGATGCAAAGCATCAAAGGGCGTCCAGGCAAGAAATGCAGAAAGTGAAGATGAGCTAGTAGACATTTGATGACAAGATATTCTTATAAACTTTTCAATGGTTAATTGGTTTTTACCAGAATGAACGGACGAAAGACATTGTTCATTATGAACTTTGATTGGCATGCTAGAGATTAAAATATTACTTGTTATTTCTTTATGATCGTGATTATTAATAGCAACGGATATACATGTATACAATCATTTATAATCCATATGTGTAACGCATGATCAACACCACACTTGTGGAATTGTCTCTTATTATGTTATCGCTATTAGCGAAAACCCCCTCTTAAGGTATCTGTTCACATTTAGTAAAAATATGACACTGGTTATATTTCCATGTTGATCATGTTGAGCATAATTGTTTATTATACAATAATTGTATATCTATTTTAATATAAAAAAAATACAGATTTATTAATATTGTTTTCCTCTCTTTTTTCGTGTTTTATGTGCTATTTTAATACTGAGTTTTCACGTTTACTACTCTTTCTTTTATTAAAATTGTACAATAAATTTTAAGAATTCAATTGTCATATTGACCGACGATTATAAGTCAAAACTTAACTGAAAAAAGTCTGTAAATTATGCTTAATCTTTCAATATATAATATTGCTTATTCTTAAACCATGTACATGTACATTTGTATTTTTCTTTATCATTTTTTTAAATTATCAATCAATTGAATAATTCATAAAATCTAATTTGTAACTTTGAATAATTCCTGGGCATCTTTACGAAACACGAATAACAAATTGAATTAAATGTTTCAAAGTTGATAGTGTCATATTTATACCATAACAATGTACCTTTTTCTCAATTATTGTACATATTTATTGTTTTTATCTCATATAGATAAAATGAAACATGCCATTGTTGTTGTTGTTGGGTTTTTTCGAATTGTATGTTTATGTATAATAATAATCAATAAATTTGAGAGTTAATCTATGTTTATTAATTATTGTAACCAAACTAAGTGACAAACATTCATTTTGGAAAAAAAGCTTATTTATCTGTAAAATATCTGTTCTGTTCTGTAACGATATCAAACATCTACTCCAAAACCGGGAGAGACCGGACAATAAACGTGTGATACTATTCGCCGGTCACTAGTAAATCCCGGTCAAAATAGACCGGGAGAGACCGGGAATTACCGATAGCAGTGCATCCCTCTATAAATAAATTTTCGGAATGTTTAGGTCATCAACTCATCATTCTATTTTAACATACCATAATAACCCACTGTGTACTACAAAATGATAAATAAAAAAAAAAAACCGAAGAGACGGAAAAGGTTATTTCGCTATTCATTGTACATATCGAGACATTTTTTTAATCAAGCGCCCTCATACCGATCGGAATGATCGGCTTTTATCATGACCGACTATAAGTCTCGAGAAGTTGCTGTCGCCCTTTCACAAAATCTGATTTCATTCCATAAGGGCGCCGCGCTTCGGCGCGGACGCCAATAAGTAAATTATGTACTATATACATTTGCTTTCATACTTTGTTTGATTTGTTTTTGCTACTGTTCATTGACTATTACAGGTTTATTTCCATCTCTGAGAAAGTTTTAATTAAAAGCCAATTGGTTACATGATATTTGATGGAAACGTCTGATAATTTACTCTAAAGTAGAAATCCGCTTCTCGTTTAGATAATTTTGAGTGCCATGTATGCTCTTTGTACTAAACAAAAAAAAAGTAAAATTGAAACTAGTCCATCCTGATCACATGCTGTCATTATACAAATTGCATTTTCCAAAAAATCCCTAAAAGTTTCTAAAGAATATTCCATTTACCGATTTTATTACTCGAAAGTATTATTATGATATATATTGTACTTACGTCATACCCCAATTGTTATAATAATATTTATTAATTGAATAAGCTTACCTTCACTGTTATTCATAAATGTGCATTTATCACTTTTTATCACTTGTGTTCTGAAAAAAAATCACCCAATTAAGTTGTCAAATATCCTTGGAAATTCTTGCAGTTCCTGTTTCCCAATACGTTCTTAAACGTGCTTAGAATTAAATGTTCTCTTTATAAAACATTTTGTATAGAAAGATTTCTGATATGACATTTGGATTGAATGCTGTTGAATGATATTATGCCATGTAAATTTTGTCTGAGCTTAATTATATACCCTCATTTTATACTTCTTTGAAAGAGGCTCTTTAAACTTCCGTGGCCGATTGGGCAATGCCGCCGAGTTCAAATCATGTATCTCTTACCATTGTATGTCAAAAATGCTGCCTTTGGTATATGTCATGTCAGAAACCTGTCTTGCCAGCTAACGGAAAGTCTGTGGTCTTTTTTGGGGGTTCTCGTTCGTGCATGCAATAATGCACAACGAAACATGAGGCCTATTTTCACAAGTTAAACAGAAAAGTCGCCGTTATTCTGATCTTTATGTAGTATCGGCTTGATTTAAACCCGATTTAACAAACAAACACACATACCTCCGTTCAAGAGTACTAAAGACAATTAAGGGCACATTTTCGGCAAAATATTGCAACATTGAATGAACAATAAAAACAAAAAAATAAACAATAAAACAAAATAAATATACGCCCTTAAGTTCATTTATTTTACAAACGTATTCCATTCAATTTGGGAAAACTTTTTGTTTCCTTTAATGTTCACTTTAAGTCTTCAAGAGACCCATTACGGAGATTTATTTGCAAGCTCGACCTTGTTTGTTTATAACGTGTCCTAAAGGTGCCTTTCTTATGGTCTCATTTGCTTTAGTCTGGGCTGCATTCTGTCATCCTCTGTCTTTCTCTGTATTATTGTTTGTTTCCATATTGAGTTTGATAACCACATGAGTTGTAACTGTAAGGAAATACATTATATTAAAAGTATGATAATTATTTGCATCAAATTCAAGTTTTGTACCATAATGATTCAATATAAATCTAATACAAAAATAAAATTACATTTTATATGATATACATGCGATTATATTTGCTTTACAGGGATTCTTAATATTTTATTTACAATAAATATTTGAGGTACCTATGTGTACATTGTATTTGCAATTGGTTAGATATAATTCCTTCACACAGTTATACAGTATATATGTTAAGTCACAATGGTATATATAGACAGATATATGGTATTTAAATTTTAATTTTCAACGAGACTGTATTAAGAGACTCCCTGTCATATGTGACCTTTTTCTGAAGATCCCTTGGAAAGTCACATATGAAAATAGATGTAAGGATATAAGAGTAGGGAACAGTTCTTCATAAAGCTGATGAGGAAGA